TATTCTGAGTGTCTTTATGCTTGATGACAGCAAATTGCGTACAGTGTATGTGTTTATGGATTTATGGTCTGTACAAATCCATCTGCTGTGATTAGTCCTCACTCAACCCGCAAAGGGTTTTGGGTCTCAGACGGCCACCGAGTCAAAGGGCGCAGTAAGGACGCATAGGGGGCGCTCATGAGCACACTTTTGAAGCTTAAAATTAGAAATAGGACGCACTGCCGCCTCGAGGAGCTTCCAGGCTCGTGCCAACGCAAGTGCGCCATTTGGGACAGGGTGAAACTCTGACGTGTGCACTTTTCTCGTAATTGTAATATGTTGCACTGTACCACAGGAGGGAAATATGGATAAAATGCAAATTTGTGACATAAGCATTAAGTCTTAAATTCTCAGGACTATGTTTCAGATTTTATTGACGACATATGAGATGAGAGAGTTTCATAGATGTAAATCCTGCTTTATGCATTTAAATGGTAAAATAAACTTCCCAGTCTTCGGGTCGGATTCTTGTAATGTCATAGTACTTGGTGTGTCAGATCAGTGCGCTTCCTTGGCTGGTGTACTCCTCTGAAACACTGTTGTGTGGAGTAATTAGAGTGCACACAGCTCTCCGGTCTCCGCTGTGAGTCGCACCCTGAGCTCTGCTGCCGGTGCGATCCAGCGCCGCCCTCTGATTGGCCGACCAGCGCGTTCCCTCGGTCACGTGACCAAGCCTCTTTCTGCGAGCGGAGCAGCCTGGAGTCAAGCTCACTAGCAGGGAGGCGGAGGAGGACATGAACAGCGAGAGAGCGCGCTGAACATCTGCGACCCAGACACACACACACACACACACACACACACACACACACACACACACACACTGATACAGACCGGATGAAGGAACGGTTGAGTTGTACGAGATTATGCTCTGTTCGTGGGAAATCTGAGAATGAACGGAGATGAGCACTTTGGCACACAGGAGCAGTGAAACTGCACCGAATTCTAGCAGCACAGCAGAAATGCGGCGTGAACGGCCCGGGTTTCTCAGCACACTTGTGTCTTCCAGCGTCGTGAATGGAGGATATGTGGTGAGTGAGTAGCTTGTGAGGCGGCTGGACCCGTAAGTTAGCTGCCGGACGCGATGAGGGCGGCGTGGGCAAACTTGGCGGCGCTGCTGCTGCTCTGCACATGTGCAGGCGTGCTGCACTTCTGGAGCGGCTTGGAAAAGAGGCTGGAGAGGAAAACGCGGAGCGTCCCCGATCACAGCGGACATCCCGCCTATCCCGACCCATCTCCGGACCTTTCGGGAACTTTTCGAGCTTTACTCGCCGTTCCGACTGGCTCCAAATTACAATCAGTTCGCAACGCTAGCGATGGTGAAACGGTCTCATTAGGGAGTGAAGCTAACCGACATCGATTTGAGTCCACAGAGCGGGAGCTCCATGCAGCAGAAAACCAAAGCGAGCAGTTTCTAGAGGACGGGATCTTCTGGAGTCACCGTCTCGAGGATGGGGTGTCGGTGGGCTTTGTGGAGGAAGACGCCCGCGCGTGGAGAGAGCGAGTCCGCCGCGGCCGGGTCGTGTCTCTAGAGCCGGGCTGCGGCAGGACGTCCAACCAGCTGGCCACTTTCTCCGACGGATCCCGCGCGTGTGTACGTTACGGCATCAACCCCGAGCAGGTGCAAGGAGAAACACTGTCTTACTACCTAGCCGCTCTGCTCGGGATCACCAACGTGCCGCCGCTCGCGCTTTTGCGCCTCGATGGCGAGCAGTGGACGCACGTGAGGCGGCGCATGGAGGCGCTACAGTGGACGCCGAGTGCCGTGGTGTCCCTCAGCGAGTGGGTGGCCGAGCTGAGTCCGGCAGGCGTGCCTGCTCCTTTCCACCGCTCCGGCCTCGGGCTGCGCCCGCTACAGCCCGAGCTCCAAACCAAAACCAAAGCGGAGCTGCTCGAGCTGGTGCAGTGGAGCGACCTGGTCGTGTTCGACTACATCACGGCCAACTTCGACCGGCTCGTGAGCAACCTGTTTAGCCTGCAGTGGGACGCCAAAGCCATGGAGCGAGACGCGAGCAACCTGCTCAGGACTCCTCGCGGCAGCTTGGTCTTCATCGACAACGAGGCTGGACTAGTGCACGGCTACCGTGTGCTGGATATGTGGGAGAAGTATCACAGCGCGGCGCTCGGCTCGGTGTGCGTGTTCAGGAGGAAAACAGCGCGGCGCGTGGCGGAGCTGCACCGGCGAAGAGACACGCGCGCGCGCCTGCTCCAGCTCTACCGGGACAGCGAGCCTTTAGCGGCTGAGCTCGGCTTTCTCTCCGACGAGCACGCCAGGATACTGCAGGACAGAATAGACAGAATTCATGAGCACATTTTGCACTGTAAAGAAAAGCACGAAAAACTGTAATGTTTTTGTCTTTCTGGTTTTTTTTCCCTCTCGCGTGGATCCTGCTATCACATTAGTATGGATAAGGACTGCTAGTTACCAAGGTGACCATTACACCACGCGACCCGTGAACTGTGTTCAGTGTGACTTCTGAATATCTGGACTAGCTACCTCCTGTAGGGACAAACCTTTAAACGTGGCTACATAGGCTACCGTTTGTTTTGTATATGCGATTACTTTTAGTTTTTAAAAGTCTTAATTTCACGGGAAACACAATGCATATTACTTGTGATAGAATGAGTCATGATAATGAGTCAAGTTCATTGTAAACACACTGGAGAAGGGCCTAAGTGCTGATATATGCTGCTTCTGCCATTGTTGTCTTTTATTAATAGGGATGCACTAATCCCACTATTTCCATGTAGGACAGCCTTAAGATATTGTTAATAAAGCTCCCCAATCCTGATCCAACCCTGACATCCTATCAGTAACCAGGCAACTTTTCTGCAAGCTTTGGTTGCCAAGTTTTGCAAAACATCAGCCATGTGATGGTGGAGTTTTATGACATGTTGTGCCCGATGTTTAATGGAAGGTCTGTCTTGGGCCAGTAAAATATGCTGTAAAATACATCAGTGGCTCGGATCAGAAAATACATCATATAAGATCTAATACTTAATGATCCAGCATTTCAAGCAGTATCAGACCCAATGGCAATCCTCAGTACTGGACGGATGAATCTCTATTTATTAGAATATTGTACTCGATAAACAGAAGGTTACATCTGGATTAACACGAGTCTGACAATGTCTGTAATTTAGTGACAATGCTTAGTTCTTTGCAGAGTGTGATGAAATGGTAATATTGCTGAAACACTGCTGAAAGGTCAGTGATTCATATAAAAAGACATCTTTGATTATCTTCTGTAGCTTCACAATTTCATTCATGGCCTTAATGAAGTGGTGGGATGTGCGTTGAATTGAAAGTGTGTTGTGGGATTTTGCTTTGTGAAGTCTGAATTCTATTTAACTAATTTAAATCACAATATGTGATAACATTCCAGTTCTTTTTTATATTAAAAATTGTGTCATTTTTACATGCCATTAAATCTAGTGGAACTAAAGTGTTTCACTATGTTGAACACTACAGCACTTGTCTGGACTCTTCTTTCCCTACGCAGAAGAAAGAGATGTTCTGAAAGGCTTTTCTCTCAGTCTTGTACACTGGATCTATTGTGACAATGCAATGCCATACTCATATTCTCAATGAAAAAAATCACTTCTTTTCATACTTCATATAAGGCTCCTTTCTTCATAGCACACATTAGAGGCAGGACATGCACAGTGCAGTGGTATTTCAATGCTCCATACACAATACTCCTTTATTTCTGGGCTGCTTGTATTAACTGTGTTATGGAGACTGAGTTCTTACTTTATGTCTGGAGGCTGAGGTCAGCATTGTAAATGTACAAATATCAGTTAACTTGGCTGTCATCTCAGTGTGTGTGGTGTTAATTGGTGTTGCTAACAGCTGGTACAAAACGAGCACATCAGATGGCAAGGGAAGGAGCTCTTGCACTCTAGGACATTTCAGGTTTTGATATTCGCTCATCAATACACAGATTTTGTTCGATTATACACCATTTAGACTCTAGTTTATTTGTACTTTTTGCTTAGATGGAGCTCATGGTCTTCTTGCTGCGCTGGGTTGTGAGTAGGGGAAAATAGGGAGATGCTCCTTAAAACCAAAGGAGGGATAAATGATCAAAGCTACGTTAATGCTTTCCAGGCCATGCTCACATCTGTTTCGGCTTACGATGAGCACACTTGCGTCTTTGTTGATTTCCTTGGGACTTTTTTCTTCAGGTCATCCTGTGAGGTTTTTTTTTTTTTTTTTTTTTTGTAAAGAATGCAATGTCTGACTTGTCAAAGATTAAAAATTAACCACACAAGAAGAAACTTCAAATTGAATGGCTAGCATTTGGCACCAGGATTTCGTGACCCATCCACATGTATCTACATGGTGGATATTTTATTCTCCTTTGGTGTTTTTTTCTGTTTATTTTTGCAATGTTTTTGGCATAATATTTTTTACAAAAATTAAAAGTTCCATTTCCAAACTCACAGAGAAACCTGGCTGCATAAGGCTTTCTCTGCCAACCAATCATCACCCATCACCCAGAATGAATATAGGATAAACAGAACATATGTAGCCTTGGCCAATCAATATACATGTTAGATTTCCACTTTGACAGAAAAAAATAGATTTGAAGCCTCAGTAAGGTGTGCCAGTGGAAAAAAGTAACTTTCAGCTCTACCTATGCTTCATGACAATAAGTAAGTGTCCAAAAACAGTACAAATTTCCCATAATCTCTGGTTTTACAATGTATAAATGTTCTGGCACATTAGAAAGTCTCCAGTGCAGCAGAAAGCTAATATTGTGGCTAACATCAGATAACATTAGCATTAAATATTACTGACATTAACTATGTTCAATGCACTTAATAAACTTTCCCATGTAACTGGGAACTGAAGGTCAGCTAGCAGACTTGTAAGAAGTGTTTGTGTGGTTGCACAGAAGGATAGTTCTGTGTATTCTAATGTATTTTAATATTGCTGAATAATGTTTTACAATGAAGGTGCCCAGCTAGCTCAGTCGGTAGCACATGCGCTTCTTAATCTCAGGATTGTGGGTTTGAGCCCCATGTCGGATACCAAACCCAGCTCCTGGGATTGCATGAGCTAGTGCACTCTCAGTGCCGGTCCCAAGCCCAGATAAAATGGAAGGGTCGTGTCAGGAAGGGCATCTGGCATAAAACCTGTGTCAAATCAAATATGTGGATCATAAACCAGATTTCCATAATGGAGATGGAGGATCCCCTGTGGCAACCCCTAACAGGAGCAGCTGAAAGAAGAAGAAAAAAACAATGAAATTTCAAGGTAAAAATGTTTAGGAACAACTTTAGATCATAGAGAATCCATTGAGAAAACTTATTGAAAGGCATATATGATCATAATGTCCTAGTCTTAATAGGTTTAAAATATCTTGCTAAATAAAAAAAAAATGTAGGGTAGAACCTTATAAAACCAAACAGTATTTGATCTTATATATGTATTTGGCTTGTATTAAAAATGTCTCGGAATTTCAGTAACATAAAATTGAAGTAACTTTAAAATGTAGGCTTTGTAGAGCTGTAAATATAAATTTACAATGCTATCTGAAAAGTCAAATCTTTGATGCCCTATATGACAAAATGGCATTTCTCTCAGACAGAACCTTATAAAACTAAAGTCATGACTGTACTATAAATAAGGAGTGTCATATCTTCTTTTGAGACAATATAGACAGAGCAGTTACTGTGTCTAGACTGCAAGGATGTGGAGCATCAGGGTTAAGATTGTACTGGGCTTTTTCTTGTAGCTGGGGATTTTTCCCGTAATGCCGCATTGTAGTTAGATTTTATAAGAGTCTGCAGACAACAGGGATTACAGAACCCATGTAAGGCTGGGTTACACACACACACACACACTCACACACACACACACAATCACATGCACTATACCCAGCATCTGGACATGTTGTTCCAAGTTGAAAAGGAAAGTTGCCTCCCTCTTTCTTTAGTCAGCCTTTTAAAAGAAACCCTCAAGTAGGCCTTAATAGCACTGGGGGCTGAAATCAAAGCCACTACTGGTTTGTTCGCACATGTGCCCCTGATCCACGTCTGGGCTTTGTTACAGCTTGGCTCCCACCACAAAACCACACAAACGTCCCACAGACAAAACCAGTGTATCTCAGACAGCCACTTCCCTAACCCCCCTGCTGTGCGACATAGCCTGTTTACCACACTCCCCCACCGGTCACTACAGAGGCCAGGGCAGCCCATCTGGACATTGTTTTAATGGCATGGCCTTGTGGCCTCTCTGTTCGTTCTTCCTGTCAGCAATGAGTCTGCTTATAGACAGCCTCAGGGCAAACCTGGCCTTTAAGACTTAGCTAGGACCTGCTTTATTGGGCTGCACTTGCAACCATAAAAAACTCAGGAAACTGTTAAGAAATTGTCTCAGATCTGCAGCAAAGTGGAAACTCTGGATTTAGAAAGTTTGGCATTTTGAATTAAATTAGAACCAGCTGTTTTGGTGGACCAAATGAAACCTCGGTGACCTATGCAACTGGTTCCTAATGCTGCTCCTACAGTACACATGGACTGCTCTGTACTCTCTGAGCACACCCACGTAGACTGAGGAAGTGTCTTTGAATTAGCAGATTAGTTTAATCAGGTGTATTAGAGCAGGGAAAATAAAAATATCCATAGCACAGGTACTCTAAGTTTACCAGATCGTTATTCTGGGTGTTGCTCAGTCTGAAGGTATTCACAGGGACTTCTCTGTTTTCCTCACAGCACGAGGGACACAAACACATAGCAGACATTCCAGAGGAAGAAGATGTGTGCATGCATTATCCTCAGGACAGCAAATTCCCAGAAGGCTGGAGGCCCAGCTGTTTACCCAAGCTTTACCGTGAGCTGTAAACTACGCATCTGGCTTTTTCATTTATTCTAAAGAAATGTTTAAAAAAAACATAACTTCTTCATGTCTTATACACTTCTGATCTATTATTAATGAAGATGTCCATACAATACTTCTTAAAGGTTTTATAGCAGTAAAAGCAGTAAAAGCAATAGTGCGTGAAGGAATTCAATCAAGTTAAAATGGCGTTAGGCATAATATGAACTAATATGATTAGAAACCAAATAAAATCTGTGTTAACAAAGGACTACACCTTTTTACTAATGGCTCTGTTTTGGTGAGCATTGCAGCAGGGCACATGGTATATAAAAGGGTAATTTGAGAGAAAAGGGTAATTAGCTCTTAGAGAATGCTACCATTAGGACTTGATGGTGGGATTGCCAGTTTAAGAGCGCATTTGGCATTCTTTGAGTATGCTGGACTGCAAACTTTCCGTGCATGAGTGATTTGATTGCATTACAAACAGAGAAGAGAAAGACACTTAGTTACACTTGGATGGCTGCGACTTGGCAAGCGGGCAAGATGCCACACTAACGTAAGGTAGACAGCCAAATCTTCTAGCAGCCTTATCCAAACCGCATGTGGGTTTGGGTGTTATTTCACGGCAAAAAAAAAAAAAAAAAAAAAAAAAAAAACAGTCCTCTGCCCACAGTGTTCTCATAAACAAACTCTGGGGCGAAGGCTGAAACAGTCATTTGGAATGTCACATGGAACAGCCCTGCAAGGTTTAAGCACAATTGTAGAGATTTAGTTGGTAATCAGAAAGGGAAAAAAAATCACTTACATCAGTTAAAGTCTGATAAGGACAGATCCACATACTTACTATATATAAGTGCCAGACACTCTTGTTTCAACAGGCTGAGTGAAATCCACTTTGACTTTAACCGCGATATCCGTTTCCCTCTTTGTCTATCAGACTCTCTCTTTATCAATGTCAAACTTGAATACTCACATATACATGATCTGTTGTTTTTCTTGGAGGGCTTTCAAGCAAGCAAGCATGAAAGACAGAAAGAAAGAAAGAAAGAAAGAAAGAAAGAAAGAAAGAAAAAGAATTACAATAAAAATATCTGCTGTATTTACATATTCCCTCATTTATCCCTTCCTCCAAGCCACGCATGAGAATGCTGTCGCTTAGAAATGGTTTCACTTACCAAATATTCCGATTTTTTTTCCCATTTGCATGATTCACTTGAAAAACAAATTTTGTTGATTGACATGCTCAGTGAATTTGCGTAGATCCTGGAGGGGTAAAGTTTGCCGATCTATCTGCGTAATCTTCAAAGAATCATCTCCAGCACAAAGAGCTTGCTTATTTGCACAGGCCTTGTCACTATGGAAATGAACAATTTCTTATTAAGAATAGCGCAGTGGGGAGAAAAACAGTTTTGAGACATAAAACCCAGTTCAGATGGTATTATAACTAAGTTTCAGAACTTAAGGCTGCAGATGAATATTACTATACAAATGTCCTGCGGTGGATTTTAAAATTTAGAACTGGGTATGACCAATTTAAATGAACATGATGGCATTGTGGTAGGCTATCATTACCATTTGCAACCCATTCCAGCTTCTCACCTTTAGGTAAACCTTTAAGTCTGTCTTTCAGCACTGAAAAGAAATAGCAATCAAGCATGAAGTTGAGTGTCAGCATCTATTACAGTGGAACAGAATATTTCTGTCCTCGTTCAAATGTCATGTATTTCATCTGGACATCTGCACACATAATATTCATTCATTCATCTTCAGTGGTCATGGTCATGCTGGATCGGGTACAGCACCTGGAGCTGCACACATAATAGTTATAAGTAAAAAAAAAAATGAGTAGACCTCAGCATTAAACATAAAGGAGCTATGTTTCAAATATATTATCCAAGGGACAATAGCAAAGTTCACACTCTTTCAAATAAAGCGTGTCTAATGTTAAATCCACATATAACAACTGGCTATTTTCTACCTTTATGCTCTTGGTTAAAGGTATTTAATGTTCCAGAAGCATGTGTGTATCCAGTTGAATCTTTGAGTAAGCACATAATTTTGTTTGCACAGAGCCAAAGTAATGCAGCCATTTGTATGTAAATTGCGATTTGTGCTATTTCGCAGGCCGCTCATATCGTAAAGCAGAATTTGCTAGCTAAGGAAATGGCACACTTGGCAAGTCATTGTGATGACAAGGACAGTGCTGCCACATGCAAGGTGATTACATGCTTAGTGTTACAGCTCTTTACCTACTCAAACGCATCTGGTAGTTACCAGCCTGGAAGCACTAATCCCTCTTGTTTGGCTTAGAGATGATTCTTTGGGAGAAAGATAACAGCATGGGAGAAGGAATCAGACAGTGAAGATTAGGCATGCATGGGCTTGCTAATGTGTGCGTCCATTCAAGACAACATGCAGACAGGTTGGCGTGCCTTTAAATCTTCCCCTGTCGGGATCTTTTCAATGAGTTGGCAGCCGGGGGGCTGGAGATATGAGTCACTCAGAATCACAGGTCTCTTTCAGGTCTTCTCATGTTCTGAGACATAACTATTATGGTACAATAGTGGGTGTGGAGGTCTACTTTGTGAAGAAGACAATGCTCTGCATAACACATAATTGCTGCTGAAGTGTGAGGAAGGATTTTGTGCTTTGGATTTTGCCAAAGCTATAAATACACAAACACTCCATAAGTCACACAGAAATACAGAGACAGAGGAAATGGGAGGCTTCAGTGACCACAGATTTCAAAAAGCAAATATTTTTTGCCAGCAGACCAGTTAGAGTGATGGCACAGCTAGCCTGCACAGAGAGGAGACCTTTTTGATGTTAACCTTAACATTATTCTATTAAATGCAACAGAATTACTATGAATAAAAGCAAGACAAAAATCTGTTATATATCTACTATTTAATCTACTATTTTAACCCATTGTTAATATCATATGAAGAAATGCATATAGGAAAATATTGCTGTTATAAATGCACTTAAGTTGGAATGTTCTTTAAAATAAATTCTTACTCTGTGCTGGTCAAGATACAGATGGTGCTTCTAATGACTCAAATATAGAACCAAGAAATTGAACCTGTTTCTTTTCATTTTTCTTAAATGTTACCCCATTTTCTCCCCAGTTTTGGTCACTTGCCAATTCCCACCCATCAGCCAGTTCTTCCCTATCACACAACAGCTACCAACCAGGGATGGTGAAGGC